TTTCTAAAGTTTTCAGGATAAACATTCTGAGATATTTGGCCTATAGAAGGTAGGTCTGTACACCTAGGGGTGGGGATGGGAAACAAAGGAGTTGAGCTCCTTCAGTTTCTAATTTCTAACAAAGATTTAAAAGCTAAAAGCAAAAGAGAAAATGTCACCTTAAGAAAAAAAAAAAATCAAACTGCCAAGATTTATTTACTTTTTCTTTCACAGAAAATACAAGAAGTACATAATGTAAACACTGACATGTGAAATAAAGTACAAGGATCAGGAAGACAAGTAAAATGGACAACACTCTTGCTTCAACACTGTACTGCTTCCTGATTTCATTTGCAGCATGAATCACATGATGATGTAGATAGGAAAAATTAAAGGCAACATACAGATTTACAGATACACTAGAGAGCCTCTGAAATCCAACACTGACATAAGGAAGTCTAACCTTTCTGTTGCAAAAAAAAACAAAAAAAAAAAATTAAAGTTGAGCACATGTCCATTTATCCATTTACCCAAGGCATTTAACGTAGGAGAGTTCTTTCTGTTGCAAAAAAAAACAAAAACAAAATTAAAGTTGAGCACATGTCCATTTATCCATTTACCCAAGGCATTTAACGTAGGAGAGTAAGAATGGGTTAACACGAGCTTTAATATGCTTGTTGAGGCAAAGATTAAATTGTGCCTTTTTTCCTCTTCAGAGAAAATAAAATTAACCAAATTAAAAGCAGAGCTGCCTGATACTAGCCAGAAGACTACATAATCACAGTGAATTCTTATTTCAATAAATCTCAGGAAATGCAAAACACCATAAAGGATTGCCATCAGTGCTTTGCCCAGATCTCATGCTGCAGAATCACAGAGGATTTTTGAGGTTCTTTCCCAGACTTCAAACTAAGAAAAATGACCCAAATAAATGGGATCAAGATCTTTGTTTTGGGGCCGGCCCGGTGGCGCACTGCTACAGTGCATCGGGCCAGATATTAAGGGAGAAATAGTCTTTAACTTCTTGAGTTATATAACGAAAACTGGACTTAGAAAGGGGGAGGTATAAAGAAATTTGGATACTTTAATAAAAACATCAGTTTCAATTTATTTTTAAAAACAAAACCTTTCAAAAACAAGTTTAGAAGAAGCTAGAAGATTCCTGAAATTGTGAATATACAATGGCATACAACACAAAATATATCAACTGTTTGAGCCCTTCGCCTGCAGCATTTCCTTTAGTAAGACTGAAAGGAGAAACAAGTGCTACAAGAAAAGCTTGACTTTTCCTTAACAACCAGTATATTTTTATCTCATTAATTTTGAAATAAACTAAATTTCTCTCTTTTTTTGGCAACTAAAAACTTCAACCAAATATATCACCCAAATATTTAATCTATTTGCAGGAATTTATGTTACACAATTTTGTATACTGTACTTAACCCTGGTTCGATCTTACTTTCCCACTAATGTTCCTATTGGCCAGAGTTGCTCATTTATTTTTATCCTTTCATATATTAGGCATTTCTTTGAGACACACTTCTATTTCTGGAAATTTAACATAGCATTCAAGTTCATTCATTCTTCTAACACTCAATGAATTTGTTAATTTGCTACTATGTTCTAGGAACTAGAGATAAAATGGTGTAGAAGTCCTGCCCTCATGGAACTTGAACAATAATAACTTCCATAGGAGAAATAAAACAGGGTAAAGGGACAGAAAATAATGGTGACAGGTGGGGATGGGAGAAGACAGAATATTTTAGAAAAATTTCCTCTTGAATTTGATATTAATCTCTTCATAACAGTATTAGGAAGGGCTTTTGAGGGGCTTGCCACGGGCCGGCCCGGTGGGGCACTGCTACAGTGCACCGCTTGGGAGTGCGGTGGCGCTCCCGCCGAGGGTTCGGATCCCACATAGAGACCGGTTCCCGCTCATCGGCTGAGCGAGGTGTGGGCGCAGCACCGAGGGTTGCGATCCCGTTGCTGGTCCCGGTCCGCTACGGGCACGACACTGAAGGTTGCGATCCGTTGCCGGACACGAAAAAAAAAGACAAAAAGGAAAAAAAAAAAAAAAAAAAAGAACTATCTTTGTTTAAAGCAAAAGGTCTGTTTCTAAACTTGAATTTAGTAATAATGGTTATAGGCTGCACATTTCTGTGATTATCCCAAGAGATTAAAATGACCTGTCTTCTTTCTTATCAGATGACACCTACCAGGTAAGAGGAAAATTTTGGTAACAAATCACAGACTGGTTCAGTAATGGTACATAGCGTTATGAGATTTAGGGTCCAGATAAGGATGCTCTAGAGCTAGAGATCAGAGAAACCTGGATTTACCAAGTATACCCACTCTTTGACTCAGCCCATAATCAAAAGTTGTTATGAATAATCTGTTGTCCCTCATTCCTTCATACGCAACAATCTGGAGAAATAAGTACCTTAGATACTTTATCTTTACAGCAAGCAGAGCTGTCAGCTCATGCTGAACACTGATTCTTTGGAGGACAAATGCTGCTCTGACCATGTGTTTTGAACCTTTTTCCCTGGCAAAACTAACTTCTCTGGATTGCTAACAACTGGGGATTTTAAAAAGTGTTTATAAAGTGTCACAACAAAAATGATTCATTTTTCTACCCCTTCCCTATAGCGCTTGATACAGTATTCTGCAATTTATTGTGCTCTCACTGAAGAGACACTAGAACAGAGAAAACCAAAATCAGGTTTTAAAAGGAATAGGAACTGACATTGCCAAAGAATCCCTGCTTTAATTCTGGCCTTTTTGTGTGTGCTATATTGTAATTAAGTTCTTGTTCAGAAGTTCTTTTTTTGACAAGCAAGATGATAAAAATAGATCAGCATTGTACCACTTTGTTTTTTTGTTTTTTGTTTTTTTAAAGATGACCGGTTAGGGGATCTTAAACCTTGACTTGGTGTTGTCAGCACCACGCTCTCCCAAGTGAGCTAACCGGCCATCCCTATATAGGGATCAGAACCCGTGGCCTTGGTGTTATCAGCACCACACTCTCCCAAGTGAGCCACGGGCTGGCCCTAGCATTGTACCACTTTGATTACAAAAAAGCCACTCATCACGGACCTCCATGACTAGACTTTTTTATTTACCCCTGTAAAAAGTAGAGGGCCTGAGCCACTGTGAAGGACAGCAGACTACTACTGCAAGTAAGGCAAGATGTTTCACTTAAAACTCTCTGTCCTATAGTTAGATCATATGTGCCAATATTTGTTTTGGAAAGCAGTAAGCAACTATTGAGAATTAAATGCCAGAGATCTTTAAAGTAAGTGGGACACTAGTCTATATTCACCCTCCAGTTATAATTCTATACTGTTTAGATCTATTATTACCTCTCCAGGGCTTCAACTCCGTCTCAGATACTCCTTCAGAGGGGATTCCAAAGAGGAGACTTTTTGTACGGTAACCAGCCATTTCTTTTGTTATCATTTATTTTCTCCTCTTTTGGGATTGGTTCCTACTGAAAAGTTCTCTTTGAAAGATGGAAACTCTGAAAAATAGATTCATCCTATTTGCAGATACTAGAAACAGTTACCCTTAAGGAAATAAGGCACCTATGAGGTGACCCCAGATTGACTACAGGAATACTACTGATATTTGGATCCTGTATGGCTGCAAAGGAATATGACTTCCAAACATGAGCACTACTTTCCTGCAACAGGCCAGGATGCATCATGGAGTACCACTGTCATGTTCTAACACACAGGCAGATTGCAGGCTCCAAAGAACTCAAATACAGATAAAATTCTCCCTAAAAATAGAAAGTACAATATTAATCAAGTCTGTGGTCAACCTCATCATCCTTTCAAGTAATGTTTTCAGAGTTGAGTTAGGAAGTATGGCAGAGCACTAGATGAGAAACGCGTAGTCCCAGCTCTATTACTTACAGGCTGTGTGACCTTGGGCAAGTCACTTTATCTCCCTCCTCTTGGTCTCAGTTTCCTCATCTATAAAATGGGGATAAAATCACCTACCTTGTCTACCTCACATTGTGGTGTTGAGGATCAAATGAGATGTTATGAAAGTGGCTTGTAAACTGTGAAATACCATATGTAAAGGTAAAGTAATAGTATATACTTATTATATTTAATTAGGTCCTTATTGCCTATTTGACTAGAAGTACCCCATGCAGGATGTGTCTTGCAACAGACAGAACTCAAAAAGGGTGCCTTTTATATACACTGATCCTTTTCACTAGGGTGGCTCAGAAAAAGTAAATTCTTAATTTCCTCAGAAATGGCCTTAGAATACATTACTTAAAAATGTGGTACCTAAATCTGCCAACTGATAGAATTAATTTTCTCCAAATATGCCCTATATAGTTATAGTTTGGTCTGTTAACACCTTTATACAGAAGAGTCTAGAATTCAAGAAATAGCAAGCTAAAACTTAAAAACCAAAAACCAAAAAAACAACCAAACAGTTATAATTGGTTGTAAAGGAAATAAAATGAAAATTAGAGGCATATATAATAAAATTAGGTCACAGTTCCTTAAATGGTCGCCTTTTTCCTGAGATAGCTCCAGGACAGGGTTCTAGTCCTGTCAAGTGCTTTATAGAAGCTTAGTCTTGCTGGAGGTGAAAAGGACATGTGGGCTGGCAACTAGGCTGTGCTCATTTTCAGCACTACGATTTGAACAAGAAGGTCTGCTAGGAGCTGCCAAACAGCTTTGGTGGAGAAGCCCATATGGCCCAGGAGAGGCTTGCTAGTTCTCAGATGCCAGGCCAGAGTGTGGAGAACAGTTTAACACAGTCATCCAGTCCAGGGATTTTCAATTCTTCCTGTAAGTTGGTTCTGCTCTTCTCCTGTCTGGTAAATAATTGAACAGAAGAAAAACAATGAGATGTAGAGCAGTATATCTATTCTTGCTTTAGAGCCTTTCTCTGCCTAGCTATAAAAAGTTTACATGCAGAACAGAAAGACAGGCAAGAAGTGAATGTGGCTTTGACTACACTTTGAAATACACTTTGACTAGTCCAAAGCATCCAGATTCCAGTATTCATGTCAGAAGACCTTTATTACAAATGTTACAGGTGATGGCTTGGAGTCAGGTCAGTGGAATCACTAGTTAACAAGACGGTTGTCCTTTGGGGCCACTGGTGTGTTGCTAACCTCCACTTTTCTTTCTGATTTGCTTTGCTTTCCGGGGTTTGAGGATAGTGTAGTTTGCATACACGGTATACTGATCTGACAAGAAGGGGACATAAAATGCCCGCAACAACTTTGAAGATCTGAAAAACAAGGGGAAAAAAAGAAAAGAAAGAATTTTATCATTTGGGAGAATTTTAAAATGGTACTGAAAATGATTAAAGGAAATAAAGTATTGTGGTGAGGATTATATTTTATATACATGGCACAGAAAACTCTGTTATTTAGGTACTAGACCATTAAAAGACCTACTCAAAACCAAGTACCTTGGTACCCACACCAAAAAGAGAGGCTCCCTAATAAGCCATTGTATATCCTTCACTGCTGCTCTAAGGCTTCACTATGCATTAGAATGTACCATAGAGAAGGTCCAAGTCAATTAAAGGACTGCTATTACTGAAATGAATTCTTACCACCCAAATGGTTTCAGCATCTGAGAAACTGTAGAGATGCCAAATACTCAAATGACCCTTACTCCAGCTCTAAATTTTCCTAGAGAGGTGAAGAAAATTACATCCTGGGTGCCTGTGCATAGTGTTCCAGTAACGCCTAAATCAAGGAGAGAGTCTACACATACGTTCATGTTGTGACATTTCCCTGGCAAATAACATATCTACTTATTACTGAAATATGAGAACTAAACACCTGAATTTCTCATGCATTTCTGAAAAATATGAAAAGTGTTTACACTTTTAAATATATTATTTAATACATCTGATAGTGCTATTAGGAAACTGACATTATTATCCTTATTTTATAAATGGGAAACTGAGCCTTCAACTCATTCAAGGTCACACAAAATAAGTGACTTGTTCAGGGTGACACAGTAAGCAATAGAGCCCTCATTCGAATCCAGGTTTGATTCCAGTGTCTGCACTCTTAACCATTATGTTTTTTTTTTGTTTGTTTGTTTGTTTTTGTCTTTTTTCGTGTCCGGCAATGGATCGCAACCCTCAGTGTCGTGCCCATACCGGACCGGGACCGGCAACGGGATCACAACCCTCAGTGCCGTGCCCGCACCTCGCTCAGCCAGTGAGCGGGAACCGGTCTGTACGTGGGATCCGAACCCTGGGCGGGAGCGCCACCACGCTCCCAAGCGGCGCACTGTAGCAGTGCGCCACCGGGCCGGCCCTTAACCATTATGGTTTATCCTGCATTCCAGGGACAGGTTAACAGAATTTATCATTTCCTATAAAAAGTTGTAATGATAGTTTCAAATTCTATATGAAATACCACTTCCTGACTGTGATCTGAGTCTGAAAATCAAAAGTTGGCCCAGTTATGACAACCCTAAATGAGGTAGCTGAGGGGTGTTCCACTGCCAATCCCTTTCCAAATTCTAAACTTGTAAATGTCATGTCAACGTGGCATTTGTACTGGGAGGCTGGGTTTGGCAGACTCCTGCAATGCCTGCACACAATGATATTGTGCTTGGCAAACACACCTCTTGGAGATTCTTCCCAACTGGGACGCTGGTAGTGCCCTGTGCTCAACAGAGATGCACTTCACTTCAACAGCTAATAGTTCAAGGGCTTTCATAAAGAAAAGTGGCTTAGAGGAGAGACAGATGAGATAAAGCAGGGTTCCTGCAAGCGAAATGAACAGGAAGAAAAAGCACGTACCTCAGTCAAAAAGAAGTTAATTTACTCTTTTTGTCCATGCTGCACAGATAAGGTAAAAGTTGGAATAGAAAGACTCAAGCTGGTACAAACTCCCACAAGCTTAAGTATAGCAAAGAAAGACTAAAACTAATTAAGTGTCATTTCCATCCTCACTGACTCCATAATAAAAGCTTCACTAATATGGTCATTATTAATTATATTTCTGGTCAACAAAGCGCTTGGTATAACATTAGGGTCCATCCATGGGACCCAATCTTAGTTTCTGACTTTCATTTTGGAGCAATTCCTTACTATTTGGGAGGAAAGCCAGTTCATGATTTTATTTTTTAGAGTCTTCCAAAAACCAAAAAGAAATCATACTTATTTTTAAAAATAAAATAAAACTCATCGTATCTTGTAATTACCATATGGGTCCATTGTGACTTTTTATAAATCTAAAGTGCATTACAGGATCTTGGTGGTCTTATTTTTTTCTGTATCTTGAATTATTTACAACTATGCTTATTTTTTAAAAGACTAAAATAATAAGAAAAAGAAGAATGATGAAATCACTGAAAATGATAATGCAATATAGTGAAATAAATCATCATTATTGCATTATCCTTCAGTTTACGTATTGCATTGTCCAAAGCACTGCATCATCTTTCAATAAGGTATACATAATTGGAGACACTATATTTTTAGTCTGCATTTAGCTTTTATTAAACACAGTTCAGAATCCAGAATTTTTTTATTTTCCACCCATAATGGCAATGAAAATTGACCAAGGAAGACATGTCACAATTCTTAGCCAAATCAAAGATGAATGCAAAAAGACAAATAGCAGCACTCTTGACTCTAATGATGGTGAAATTGATCATCCAAGCAAGATTTCAAACTATGAGTCTTCAGATGACAGTATACTAGATAAATTTCCTCAAACTCAGGAATTGATGAATGAACAATATATTTCTGAGGACAAAAAGGAAATAAGGTATTCTCATCCAGTCATTAAACAGGAAGGACTTTGTCATGTAATATTTTACAAGAACCTGGACAATTCTGTTATGCTAAAAAGACGTGACCATATTCTTTAATCTTCTATGACATTTGTGTGTCAAATTTTATTTGACACAGCTCATAAGTTAACAAATGCTGAAGGCAGGTCTACAGAGGTGACTGGAAGGAAACAGATGATTAAGAGATTTAAAAAACTCCACTGGGGCCAGCCCGGTGGTGCACTGCTACAGTGCGCCGCTTGGGAGCGCGGCGGCCCTCCCGTCGAGGGTTCGGATCCCACATACAGACCGGTTCCCGCTCACTG